CTCTCTCTCTCTCTCTCTCTCTCTCTCTCTCACACACACACACACACACACACACACACACACACACACACACACACAGAGTTAACCTCAGGGCAGACACAGAAGGTCCAGGCTGGGCTGCCAAACAAGAAAAGGGTAAGCTCAGTCTGGGGAACATAAAGTCTGAGAAAAACAAAAGCTGCTCTTCTGCTGGGAAGTCTCTACAGCTGTCTATTGCATGTCAAGTAGGTGACTTTGATGTATTCAAACCTGGACAGTAGGTGGAGGGTTTTTTTCCTTAAGTATCATTTTCCTCTAACAGGGTAAAGATGATTTCGTTGCTTGGTACCTCCGAAGTCAGAATGCAAGGATTAGAAACAGTCTGCCTGTAATAGCTACAAGCTCTAAGCAGCCAATGAACACTGGCATCTTATCGGGTCGCTGACACAGGGTCACTGTGGGGCCCAGAGGATGACTGCAACTTTCTTGGCAGCTGAAACAGCTGCCTTTGAAGCAGCACGGCAGCCAATGCAGCATGTGACTTGGGACACAGGAGAGACAGTCTTATCTCCTGCCCCAAGCCCAACTTGTCACTAAAAAATCTCGGATTCTTAATGAGGTTGGATGGACCCTCATCTGCTGCTGGGAAAAGGCAATGGTATAGCCACCTTAGAAAACAGATTAACACTAAGCTGATTGAAAGGTTAAACACACAGCTACAACACAGGCCAGTGATTTCACTCCTATGTGAACGTATGCCCATATAAATATGTATCTGCACACATACCTTCATAATAGTATTATTTATAATAGCCAAGGCCCCATCAACCAATGAAACAAATACAGTGAAGCCACATACTGAAATATAACTGGAAAATAAAAAGAAGCACCAATTCATGCTAGAATATGAATGAAACTGGAAAGCAATATGCCAAGTGAAAGAAGCCAGTCACAGAAGAACACAGATAGTATTATTCCACTCATATGTGACACAAAGAATAGGAAAATCTATAGATGTGAAAGGAGTACAGATAAGCAGGCTGGTGGGCGATTGCTAAGGAAAGTGTTTTGGGAATAAGAAAATGTTCTAAAACTTGACTGCAGCGAGCGTTGGTACAGCTTTGTAAACACCCTAAAAATGCCTGCATGTAGACTAAGTGGGTGAGCTGCATGGCATACAAATTACATTTTTTAAAGGCAGCTTTTTCAAGAAACAGACTATCCTGCTGTATCTTCTCACTCCAAATATCATTTCACTATGATCTAGGATGACCTGACTGACTCACATCTTCAATGGCTGTCTTTCTGTGTGTGTGCACACGATTTTTCTTCAGCTTTTAGTTTTATTTTAATCCATGTGTGGAGTACATGACTGCATTCCTCACGGACAGCTAGCGCAGGCACACGCCACAGCTTCATTCTTTTTCATCCCTCTCCCACAGTTCCCTACAACCCTCTTCCTGCCTCTTTCCCTTCTGTAAAAGATTTCTCTCCCTATTTCCTACTGTCTTTATTTTGCTTTCTATTTGTATTTTGGGTTTCCCCTATAAAAGAAATCACGTGATACTTAAGCTTGTGGGTCTGATTTATTTTACTTAACATGGTGTCAAGGAATATTTATTTTCCTACAAATGGCTCAAGTTTATCCTTCCTTATGACAGAGTAGTACTGCATTATAATATAAATACAAACATTTCCTTATCCATTCATCTCTTGATGAACATACAGACTCCTTGCCAGATTTAGCAATTATGATTTATACTTGTATAAACATAAAATTGGGCTGCTGTGCATATATCACTATAATATGATGTCTTTAACACTTTCAGGAAGATACCTAGAAAGGAATATAGCTGGGTTGTCAAGAATTTCTATTTTTAGTTTTCAAAGATTCTTTATACTGATTTCCATAATGGTTATTGCCTTGTATTGTGAACAAAGCTGCAGAGACAGAAACATTTTGCATCAGTAAGAGAAGGGATGGCAGAAAGAGCTGCAAGCTGGGGTCTCTGACTGCCCCCACAGAGCCCTGAGGCACGGCACTGCCCTGCCTGTCCTGGGGCTCCTCCTCCATCCTCACACAGTGAAGGAGTGGTACGAGCAGACTCTGAACAATACCTAACGCACCTTACACATCTGAGAATATGGTTCATGGTGAGAGATGCTGCCATCTAACGGCTTACTGTAAAAATAGCTACACTACACAAGAACAATAATCCAATTCCCAGCCAGCAATAATGTGCCGTGTCTTAAAATAGGCTGTTATCAAAAATCTCTTTACAAATAAAAATTATTTCAAACTTTAGAAACCATGATTTTAAAATGACCAATGTAATATTTAATCCCATGGCTGCCCTTATGATTTATTTAGCCCTATCTGAAAGGAAAAGTTTCTTTTCAGGGGGAAGAGGGAAATATGCTCATAGTCGAAGTGGAGAACACAGGCTATACAAAAGGACCCAGGCTTTATCTAAAACATACATATACCCCCACACAAACACACATGAGAAAGGGCTAAAACCTCTTTTGTGGAAGAGAAGCACTAGGAAGAAGACCCAAGCACGACAGGCAGAAACATAACCAACACAAGAAGCCATGCATGCTTCTGATTCCTCACCAACTCCCTAAGGTAAAATGGATCACTGGTATCTCCTCCCTCTCTGGTCTCTTCCACTTAAAGGACACAGAAGTAAAGCTCTTGAATCATTACCTTCTGCAACCAGCAGCCCTACTGAGGGCTCAAGAGGTATTGGTCTTGCTTACTTTTAACTCTTCACAGTCCACTAATGGCAAATGTAAGGAGACCTATTTCTAGGCTCCAATCTACCTACCCATTACATTATTCAAATTATCCTATCATAGTCGATATTTTCTTAAAAAGCAGGCTATTTCAAATGAGCATCAATAGTTATTATAAACGTTATTAGCATACTTATAATAAATCAGAAATACATGGAAAATCCAGTGACACCCAGACACCCGGAGCCTTCAAAAGGTTCCCATGCCCATCCATTTAACTATGTGATGGACGATTGATCGTGTTAGCCTGGGTAAGAGAAGATCCACTAAACTGACTGAGCAATCCCACACCTGGGGCTATGGAAGACCCACCCTAAGGTGGCTTGTCACCTTGATGATATTCTGAACCTTTGTTCAGAAATGAAGAAGGAAAGATTTGCTTCTGTTTCTTCAGAGGATTCTCTGTATTCTTCTACATCCAACTCTGTGGGTGGCCACCATAAGCCATTCTTGTAAATGTTGTATTCTGTTTCTCTAGCAAGCACTGACTGACACAGTCTGTAATGGGCTAACTCTGAAGCAAGTGCTTGTTTTAAGAAATATTCAACACCAAGGAATCAGGGTATTAAGAAAAGATACAAATTTGGATGGATCTAGGTTCAAACACCAAACTCCCTCCTCATCTCCCCCGATTTTACCAGGCCAGTCTGGTTCCCAGGCATAGCAAGCTATTATGCCTGATCTAAAAGTGATCTAGAATATCCCAAAATAAATAAAATACATATTTGTGATCATACAAGGCTAAGCATTTAACCATCAGTTCATCTATTCCTAATACCTTTGGGAGAAAAGCACAATTTCCTCCATTTTCAGGTCAAGAGAGGTTCAAGCAAGGTCAATAATCTGCTCAAAGCCCACACACAGCAAAGAAAAAAAGAATGCAAACTCTAGTCTATACAGTTTTGAAGCTCATGCACTATACCACCACTTGGCACTCACAATATGAGGAAATCTAAACCACCATGCAGTTCTACAAACAGCCCAGAGAACTAGGCATGATGTAGGATGCCCATAACCTGAGCACTCAGAAGGCTGAGACAGAAGGATCTCAAATTCAAGGCCAGCCTAAACCATTCTACAGTCTCAAGACACCAGGGAACTGGAAGCATTACCCAGCTGTTCACAAACCTCAGCTGTATAGATGCAAATCTTTTATTCATCCTACATGTCTCTGACCTCTAAACTTTTACAAGGAGTTGAAATATTATGAAGTGAATTATCAACTAGTGCTTTCCAACATGGCCCTTCATTTAATTTGTTTTTCATGAACAGTTGAACCTCAAATGCTGTAAAACAAGATTAATTTATAGCCACAGAGGTTTCACTCTTCCCCCCAATTGCTTATTAAAAATCTGTGTGTACTTTTATGTTAAACAGAGCAGATGAATGCTTGTTGGCCTCTCCTCTCTTCTGAAACACTATTAAAACTGCAGTAAAGAGATTAAAGAGAGACAGCAAAGGGAAGAACCACAGGCAGCAACTAGACTCAAAGTGGGAAACAGACTGCGGAGGGGGAGCGAGCTGGGTGTGAGTGAGATGCGGGCAATCCAGGCCACGGAGCCCACAGCTTCCACACGCCCTGCAGGTGGGCCCAGAGGAGGGCACAACAGCAGGACAGGGAGCATCTATTTAAAGGAAGGGTTAAGACACCCAGAATCTCTTCCCAAGCCAGAAGCATTTCCTCCTTCCTCCTGCAGCTGACGTTATTCTCTGAAAAGGCTGAAAGCTAAGACTATGAAGACGCAAGAGCTACACTGAAAAACTAGGATTAAGAAAACCTCCCTGTACAGGGAGGCCCACAAGCACATGCCCCCTGACCCTACTCAGTGTGAGGACTCCGTGGTCACACCGCAGGAAGATGTAGAGGATTCCTCCCTGGGGAAACTCACTAAGAGAAATAGCTGTCTATACTCACAATCAGAGAGCACACTCCAAAGAAATGACG